TTTTCAATCAAATGTTCTTAAAAATATGTTAATTTTAATATTACTTTTTAAAGGAACATCCTGACTTTTAGTTAAATTCATTATTTAAAGTTTTATCTGCATTTATCTTTAACAATACTTCTTGTATTTAGATATGATCTATACATTGCACTGACAATTGTTAAATGTTTGTTGATAATTATCAACGTAACTGGTCCTACCTTATGCAAAAAAACTTTTCATTTGAGATTTTGTATTAATGTTGAAAAATTATTTCTGTCAAAGAGGTCAAAGAGGTCAAAGAGGTCAAAAAATAAATTTCAGCAGACATTGGTAAAAAGGTCTATAAGATGCCTGATTTTATTTTTGAAAAATATGAATTATTGGATAATTCAAATCAGTACTTTTAAAGCATATCATCACTGTTACACTTTAGGATTATGGATATTTAGAAAAATAATAATCTTATAAACTTTTATTGCAGTTCCCTTATTGGTAAAGGGGAAATTAATTTAGGTATTCCGTAAATGGTTCAATTTTGATCAAAATGCTAAAATGACTAATAAAGTGCTTGAAACAAATTAATTTGTTCAACATTTTTTCAAACTTGCAATGGTATCTCTAAAGCTATCTACTGGTGGGAATAGCTGATATAGATATATTTCCTATTTCTTCACTCCGATTGCTTTCTGGATACTCCAGAAAGATTGTAGAATGTCATGAGTCCTCTTTTAATCTCAGTGCTAGGTCTTGTGTGTACAGAACCATTTTCTTTGCTTATTGATCAATATTGTGTATCTCGGATTATTATCCTGCTAAAAGACCTGAGGCCCCAACCTCGGTTTAATGATAGAGTCAACAAAAGTTTTAGATCTCCTGGTCCGTAATGTGACACTCTCTATGGTGACTTTTGTAAGAGAAAGAGGCCCAGAGCCCTCCACCGTAAATACAAGTGTGTATGAAGCTCATCCTGTTTTTCACACCAAATTCACCCGGAATACAAACTGTCAATACAAACTCACATAGCGACAGTTTGACACTGATATGGAAGCTCATTTGAACACATTTTTTCTGCAGAGACGTATCTCTATAAAAAATAACCGTGTCTCCAAGAACTTTTATTGCTAACTTTTAAGACATTAAATACATCATCTTTACAATTTCATATAAATGATTTTCTGCAGGAAATGAACAGAATCTCTTTGTGATTTTGTGAATTTGTTACTTAGAAATAACTTGAAATAGGACATCATGCAACCAGAGTTTGATCGCTGATAATGTGTGCAGAACATAGTCTGTGCGGTTTTGGATAACTTAGACAACTGTGACGTCAAAAGGACCAGTTTAAACCAGAAAAACGCAGACAACCGTATCTAGCTAAAACATGGACTGATACTGACAGTTTGTCAGATCTTCTTCCTTGTGACAAATTTTTCCACTTTAAAAGAACATTATTTGCAAATGCCAACTATTTTCCTCTTGCGCATAAATATAAAAAGGATTATGAGGAAGTGAGAGTGAAGAGGAAACGTCTTTTAATACGCTCCATTAACTTGTTGCATGAGGTAAAACCCTGCAAAGTTCAAGTTTAACACAACAGATTGCCAATTTCACACTGGCTGACATTTTTAAGTGTTTTTTTTTATTTTTTATCAATTATGAGGATTTCTTAAAAGAAACTGTAATATTTAATATCAAAATATTACAACACCCTATAATACTTCATTTCTATTGCATTCTGTGGCTTAATGAAATTAATGTTTAATATCCAATTTGAAATCCTTTTTCCAGATTTAGCCTTAGTGTAAAAACTGCCTTATCAGGAAGCATAGGTTGGTTCCTACATATTCTTTTACACACGTCAAACACTAATGAGAAAATTTGCTTTGACATTTATGATGGTTTTAAGCTGTTATGTTAAAAAGAGGCTACACATTCAGTGTTGGCAATTGTTTGTTTTCCTCATCACTCAAACACTGGCAGAACCTGCTTGCTAAGGTTTTCTAAGAAGTAGGGTATGTTTAACCTTTTTTCTTAACCATGGAAACTAGCTTCAACTAGACATGAAGAAAGATTTTTATTGTAAAACAAATATTTTCCTTGAGCCCGTAACATTAAATAGTGTACATTTAAATAGGAGGTCTCCCTGAAATTCAAATTTTCCAGAAATATTGATAGTTTAAAATTGAGTAAACGAAACGAAAGGTTATAACTCAGGGTTTTTGCACAGCTCATTGTATTCACAAAACGTTTTATTCCCACCAAACGAGTTCTTCGAAGAGGATATGACCCCTCTCAAATTACTAACCTGAATAATCCTTTAGGGGTGTCACTTGATATCATTACTGTAAAAGACTCAGTCGTGATGTGACGTGTTTGTTATTTGCTGGAAAAACAATTAAAACCACAAATCGCATGAGTGGAGGATTAATCAAGGAGGCAGCCAAGATGCCACAGCTCAGGGGAAAGAATCTGCCGTTAAACCCACACATCACAAATCTGGTCTTCCTGGAAAAAAGTCATCAAAAGGTTCGATTTGCGGTTTCCCACAAACTTTATAGTGCAAAGCTCTGCCCTGTTCCGATAAGGGTCGATTAAAACACAACTGAACAGCATCATGCTGTGGGGAGGTGTTTCCAATGCAAAGATAGTGAATAGAAAAGAATGGAATAAAATACAATATGATAGAATAGAACTTTATTGATCTCACAATGGAGAAATTCACTTGTGACATCGGCTCTTATAAGCAAACAGGAGGTGCACAAAGTAGGAAAAGGTGCATGAAGTTTATATTGTGCATCCAGATATAGGCAGTGGATGTTAAAAAATAAAGGAGAGATTTAAGGTGACTTATATATACAGAATCTTATGTACAATAAACTTGTGGCCAATGAAGTCTGATTTCTAGTTTGTTAAATAGATAAATAGTAAAGGTTATTGCAGGGTTATTACACCAGGTTACAGTGCAGTGTCATTGGCAGCAGAGATGAATGACCTGCAGTAGCACTCCTTTTTACACGGCCGGTGGATAAGTCTGTGACTAAAGGAGCTGCTCAGCTCCTCTACATTCTGGTGCAGCGGGGTGGAAGGTGTTGTCCATCATGGATGTACGATTGGACAACACCCTCCTCTCGGCCACTTCCTCCATCGAGTCCAAAGCGCAGCCTAGGACAAAAGTGGTCCTCCTCACCAGTTTGTTCAATCTCTTTCTATCCTGCTCTGCACTGCCTGCAGGCCAGCAGACGACAGTGTAGAGGAGGAAGATGGAAAAATTGAAAAAGGAATGAGCTAAGTACAGGGAAATACTAAAATATAACCTTTTAATAGCCGATAAAAACTTGAAACAGGGCCAGAAGTTCACCAGATACCCCTGAACACAATCCGGTGTAGCCCTCTGGCTCTTTTGGATTAGTTCCAAGGACAATGACTGTAAAGTAAACCAAAGCAGAAATGCGTCAAAAGTCGTTATTATATGTATGATCTGAATAGTGTTGGTAGTAAGGAAGGATTATGCTTCCTAATGCCAGTTCGGCCGCACAGAGACCCCCTAAGGATCCTATCCATCGCTAAGCGCTACACGGTCGCCCCCAATCCTTTATGTGACAGGAGCTATAGGCTCAGCGCACCTCCAGAATATAGCAAAAGTGCCTTATTTCTTAGTCTGTGTGACACATACAACATGTACCCATATTTGTTTTGGAAGGCTGTATATATAATTCAACTAGTAAGGCTCTCTGGATTCAGCACAGCAGTTCTTTTCCTACTCTGATAGTGTTCTACCTGTTGACCCCATGAAAGGTTAAGAAAGAAATGGGAGCTAAATAGGAGGTTGGAGCTATAATTTGAGCTGTTTAGAGGGAATCATTGCCTTCAGAAGTCACTTAAAAAGTAAGTTAAGTGCACCTGTATGAAATCTATCTCAGTTTGAATGCAGTTGTCTACTAAAGGCCTCAGAGATTTGTTCAAGAGTGGCGGATATCAGCCTTAGCAGACTGGAATTCAGACCTGTAGGGTTTTTTTCCTCATGAAATTGTAAACAACTGAACCATCTCAGCAAAATCTCAAATTAATATTGATGTTTTTACAGCAAACTCCTAAGAAATCTAAATTAAATCAATGTGCTTCCCCCCCTTAGGATACCAGAGTATGTATGTCAGAAAAAGATCCTGTCCGTGGGCTGAAGATTATCGTAAGCATGGAGCCTCAAAGAGAGAATGTGACCTATACAGCTACCGCCGAGAATACTGAAGACTTGCAACGCTGGAACAAGGCCCTCCGGCAACATACCTATAACCTGAGTAAGACTAGGATTAAGAAGAAATCTGTCAGAAAAAAAAAAATCATAAATCTTGCTTATCTTTACTTCTACCTGCTATGAAACATCCTAGGGCTAAAATTAGCTGAGTTAAAAAGAGTTTTTCGTTTCCTGTTGATAGAAACCAGAAAGCAGGTTAGTGATTTATAGGAACTGAACAAAGGGAAAACTTTTTTTGTATGTTGTTAAAAACTAAAACAAAAGTGATAAACACTGCATAGTTTTAAAAGTGATGTATATATAAATATATATATATATCATTCCTATTCAGTAAATGCTTTGTACTGTAGAACCACTTTTACCTGGAATTACAGCTGCTGTTCTTTCCAGGATTTTTCAATTGCATTTGCACAGCAAGAGAGTTTAGAGTAGAATAGAAAATCCATTTACTCTCCCACAATGGGACAATTGTTACATCACCAAAGGAGTGGTCACATCAATGTGGACCTTAAAAAGTGTATAAAAATAGCAGAATAAGTGACAGAGTTAAATGCTGTACTGTACAGTGTTTTCCAATATAAATACTGTGCACCTGAAGAATAAATAGTCAGTATACTGTTGTGGACATTTTTACTGTAATGGATATGTGAAAAATAGCAGCAACACACACAAACATGTTGTTTGAATTTAGACTTAGACATTTTTCATTGTCATTTTGTATACACAGTGTATACAAAATAGAAATTTCATTTTGTACAGCTTTCAGGCAGTAAATGAGCAGCAGCAGCTCCATAAAGTGCAGCAGTGATCAAATGTAGTGACTAAGACAGAAACTGTGTAAAAATCAGCATCAATGTAACATTTTTCAGGTTGTTGGGAACGTGATGGTTATAAAGTCTTACTGCTGCTGGGAGAAAGGATCTATGATAACGCTCCCTGGTGCATTTAGGGTGCAGCTTGTAAACATCGGATGTCAAATCTAACCTTAAGTTTCTAGTTAAATCTCTGGCATTTTGTTTTACAACACATCAGTACTTGTAACTTAACAGGGGTCTCCTTATTCAGTTTTTAGACTTAGATCAAATTTATTGTAATTTTGTATACACAGAGTGTATACAAAGCGAAATTCAGTTTTGTACAGCTCTCATGACATTTCCATTTCTTAAAGTGCAGCAGTGATCAGATGTAAACATTATGAGAAAAAAAAACTACTGTTCCAACTACAACTACGGTTCTGCAGGTCATTGATCTTACATACCTGGTCCAGCAAACCTGAGTGAAACATGTTGTTCTTTAGCAGCCCTCCACCAGACTTGTTGGCATGTTGAAGAGATTCTCAGTCATCCGGCGACACTAGCATATAGTCACAAAATGTTTCCACAAAATTTTTAGATTTATGTAATTAAATTTCATAACAATTTCCTGTCCATTTTTCTTTTTATATAATTGTAACACAAACCTATTAAATGTACCTGACATGATACATTTTCATTAATTTACTGTAGGTTAGTTATTAAAAACACATAGCTGTCAGGTTTACTGTATGTACTTAATAGAAATTAATAAAAATGAAATTAACAGTAGTACTTACTCAAAATGTATACTTATTATAAGATTTATTTGAAATACATAATGTTTATTTGTTTGAATTCTATAATAATCAGATTACCTTTATTGCATTTCTTCTGTCGGTGAGCCCCATGGCAACAATGGTTACGATGTAACTTACCTCCATCTGTGTGGGAATGTGCTTATATGGCTTATAGAATCCCCGACATGAAAGGATGCTATCTGAGTACAGACCATTTACCATGATTAATTATCTGATTCAGCTGTGTTGGAGCAGAGACGTACCTAAAAGATGAAGGGCGGTATATCTGCAGTTTATCTGAAGGATCAGAGTTGGATACCCCTGATCTCACCATTCTAATCATCTTCTAAAGCCATCCTACTAGATGATGATTGTCTATTTTAATTTCTGGCCTTTTGCAGCCTATTACTTGTTTTCTTCCAGGATAATAATCAGGTGGACATTAATCTTTGTCGCCAGACTTAAATGTACCTGTGTTGCTAAAATAGTGAAATTAAAATAATCAGCATCCTCTATGAATCCCAGGTGTTCTTTACAGTATTTTTTTTTTCATCCACAAAAGAAATTATACTAAATTTTATATATATATATTTTTTTATTCCTTTTCCCCACCAAAAGTTTAACAAAATATTGGACTTAGGAGAACTGAATCACAACCCATGCAAAACGTCTTGCAGTTTTGATATGCTTTTACCTCATACCTGGTAACTGTTGGTGGACCTCTTTTTGTCTTGTTGTGTATGCTCTACTTACACAATGACATTAAAGGAAATCTACCATATGTCCTTTTATATCCAACAAAAAAAAAAAAAAAAAAAAAAAAAACAAGATTTAAAGGCAGAACAAATAAAACAGGGAAACAACCGCAGCGAGACTTTCAGACTGAAGAGTAAAGGCTTCTCTGCATAAATAAATAACAAAAGCAATTGCTAAAAGTTATCAGAAACAAATCTTTGATATTTTTGTAAAATTAACAATTGTTTATTTGGGTTGTTTCAGGCCAGTGGAAACAATGCTGTGATGAAGTGATGAGGATTGAAATGCCAAGACCCAACAAAACCAACATGGTGAAGCAGGGATCGCTTTATCATGAAATGGGTAAGATCCTGTGGGCGTCTGCATTGCATGCTTTCATTCATCCATCTCTGTGAAAACTATTCATGATGACAAATTAAGTTAACTTCCTGATTTCAGGGATTGTATTCTGAGGTTGTTGCTTTTTGCTATGTTTTTTTAAAACTGAGATTTCCTCATGGTTTTTTGTGACTTTATACATTCTTTGTTACAATATAGTTGATCCCTTTTTATTTTGTTTCCCTCTTGTCGTCACAAGCTTTGACTTCCTGTCTTGTGTTGTTGCTTTGTTTTTTTCCACATGATGCCATCTAGTTTTTTTAATGCACCACCCGCTGCAAAAAAACAACAACAAATACGTTCTAAACCAACTTTGTGCTTCACGGATTGAGAGGGTTTTCACAGGCTTGCAAGCCTCACTCTTTTTATTTTTATTTTTTTTTGAAAGTGAATAACAATCATCATAGCCAAACACTACTTATATTTTAGGGTCGCAAAAATGACAATTAAAGATGGTTTCCTTAAGTGTGTTTGCAAACTCTAATTTTTTTCTTGTATTATTTTTTCTTGTATTTCTTATATTCATTTCTTGTCTTAAAGTCAATGAAGGCCAAGGACTCGATGTTCCACCTTCTTCACAACGTTCTCTACTTTTTTCTTAAGGATCAATATGTCGCAATAAGTATCTGGGATTCAGCACCAGTCCTCTTCCTTAATGGGATAATAGCAGGTACCGAGGTTTAAGAGGAAGCTCATAGGGGTAGAGCCGTCTTTATCACTGCTATTTTATGGAATAACCTCCCGCTGCACATTAGGGAGGCTCATCACTTCCAAATTTTAAAACATGGCTCAAAACTATCTTTTATTTGGTTGCTTTTAACACAGGCAGGATTTAGTTGTGACCTTGTTTATTTAGCTTAAACACATTTTTATTATTGTCTTATTTTTGATATTTATGCTATAGTTTATTCTTTTATTGGTTTTTATGATTTTTAGCTATGCTCAATGCTTGAAGTTAAGCTGCTAGCTGTTTTAAAGCACTCTACAAATAAAGTGGATGATGATAGCTTGGCATGGTGTTGCTTTGTGTGAGGAATTGCCTTTGAGTCAACGAGTCGATGCAATCAACTGGTTTTCCTTAGATAGAAAACCTTGAATCAATTTGACTGAATGATCTGGTTGAATTGAAAAGTGCCTTGAGATGATGTGTTGTGAATAGGCGCTATAGAAATGAACAAAATTTAATTAAATTAATCGGATGACTGTGGCACCTTGGTAAGTTTCGCAATTCTTTTTTTGATGTCTTGGGAAAATTGCTTTGTTTTTTTTCTGATGTCACACAAGGAAGCAGTGTAATTGAGGTGTTACCTTTGAATATATCTACAGGTGTGCTTTGTGTCAATCAGCCGCTTAAAAAAACATGCTATATAATAATCTTAAAATACATAAACTTTTAATTTCAAGAAATCATGTCTCTTTCTTATTTTCCATATCTTAAGCAGATATAAAACCTTTCATTAACAAAAAACAGGGAACTATTAAATATAAAAATATGTGTATTTTTTTTTCAAAGAAACTATATTTTTATACTAGTGCTTCACAACAAAGGATGCATATGGAAACGTGTGGAGTATGTATTATTAGAAATGTAAATAGTAAAAAGAAGCAGATATTGGCTTAGTCTCTTTGTTGTATTTTTTAAAACCTTTATTTTTTAACAGAGTTTTTTATAAACTAAAGAAAGGAGAAAAAAAATAATAATATGATCATTTTTAAATAGGACACAACTCAGTGTTTGTACTGCATTTTGCACCATGTTTACTTTTGCATTGCACTGAACTTTTTCATATAATTGCCCTTTTGCACCATTATTTAAAATGGTTTCTTCTTTTCCTACATTATTACATTCTGATCACTGTTGCCCTTTATATTGCAATCCTTATCTACTCCAACTGCAATATAATTACAATGTTGAAATCTGTATGCAACGAAATTTTGTTTTGTATACACTCTGTGCATACAAAATGACAATAAAGTTTATTTAAGTCTAAACCTAATCTGCTGACATCAAGATATAAAATTATTTGCTGGATGCTACTTCACAAACTATTTCCTAAACCTTTTATAATCATTTGTCACCTCAATATTGCTTTGTGATACTTAAAATAACTTCAAGTTCATGGTTTTGTGCAGTTGACAATTATGTTCAATACCATCTGGATTTAATTGTTTCTTTTCTAACCTTAAATTGATTTCTCACTCCTAAGATCAGGTGAAAACTATGACAAGATTTTCTAGTTTCCAATTCAGGATTAATATTCAGTGTGTAGTTTTTTAGCTCCAAACTAAACTAATACAAGCTGTTGAAAAGACTAAAAAGACACAAATTTGGAAAGTTGTTATAAAAGAAAAATACTCTTACTTTAAAAAAATGATGCATAGCATTCTTAAATTGATGTTCTATTTTATACCTGCAAAAGTATATTTTTAATTAATTACAAAGTATCAGGATGCCAAAATGGCTGTAGGTTTAATAACCACAAAAATCAAGTAGACAAGCAGAATAAAAAAAAAATAATTTGCTTATATTTATTGTCAATAAATAGATATTACTAATTGAAAGTTTTATGATAGGCCCAAATTTATCTTGTTTGCTTTTGAAGACTTAAATCATACATCAAATAAACTGCAAAGCCTTCTTAAACAATAGTGCCTGTCTTTTGATGCCAAAGATTGGACTAATAAATGTCGAAAGTTCTGGGTTGATCAGTAACAAGTCAGGTAGAAACTTAGTCGTAAAGTAGACAAACAAGTCTGAAAGAATAACCGACAATGAAAAACACAACCCATAAAAACCTGGGATGAAAGCCAGACACTGTCGTCAAGAATGGGTGTATTATCTTCTACATCTGCTAAAAAAACGGCAGTCATGCTGATCTAAAGATATGCAACACTCCATGCCAGAGACACAGCGTAAAAGCATGATTGTAGTTAACAGGTGTCCAATAGCTCAAAGACATGTGAGTGGGAAAAATGTATGCGTAAAAGAATCTCTCTTTAACTTCCTGATATGTAATCTATCATCACCTTCAGGTGTTTTCTGGCACTGAGTTATTATTTTCATTTATTTATTTTTCTTTCATATGTAGAGTTTGATATAGATCAGATTTATTATATTTACTTCCCCTTGCTTTACAGTAACGCCCTCCTCTCCGGGAAAGGGTCCTGCCATTTCAGATTTGTCTAATGAGATACGCACTTTGCTTTCCTCTTACTACAGAGAAAGGTATGATTTCCAGCACACACATCAGCCTCGCCATTTAGCTTTTTTTTTTTTTTTTTTTTTTTTTTTTTTTAGTTTTCTGGATAAATCTTAAAGATTTGCCTGCTTTTCATACAGTAGATTTTGAAGAAAATCCTCCCAATGCTCAGCTGATGTGTATAATCACTTCCAGCAACAGTTTGAAAAGGCTTTCATAAGCCCTTAGAGTGAGATCACAAAATGAGACGTTTTCCTGCTTGCATTTTTAATCATTTTGGGTAGAAAGTTAGTTCTTGGCTGAATATCCAGTGCATATTTTGGAATGCATGATTTCATTTTATACAAAACAGCTCAACAAAAGGGTAAAGATATTGACAGATTAATTTTCAATGCACGCATATATATGAAATAATAAACATTTGGTGCTTTCTCAGCTTTTCTTATATGTTGAATTAAAATTTTGTTACATTTTTGAGCTGCTGTATTTCTAACTTTACAAGTAAGAAGTGTGCCTACTTACAGTAATGATACAGGCTTTGAAGGAGAATTTCCATTTTCCACTCTCACATAATTGAGGTCTGGAATAGATTGTTATGTCAAAGAAGTCTATGGTTATGGGGTGTGTCAGGAATTAAAAAAGTCTAAGAGAAAAGCAAAAACTTGCTCCAGTCTTAATCGCTTCACATTACATCTAAACTAAATACTAGATACGTCAGGGTTTTTACATGGAGTTGCAATTATCTTTCAGTTTGGAAAAATATATAAGAATAAAGGTTTTCCATTATTGACCATTAGCATGCATTCAGTTTACTTGGCTTGAGGGTGGATTTAAACTATAATAAATAAAAAGCATTTGATAAAAATTGAATTTGTAAAAACTTACAGGCAAAGATTTGTCTAACATAAAAATGTTAGTCTAACGCAGAAATGGGAAAAACAAACAAACAACTAATTCAGCAAGTATAATCATTACTTATCCACAGTTTGATATCTTTATATTAATGTCAACAAGTGATGATTGCAGAAATACTAAAACCTTTTATATCCAGTTGAATCAGAAATGTGTCTCTGTCTTCTAAGCCTTCTCCTTTATTTAATGGTTGCAACAGCAAATCAAATTACTCTCAGACTTAGCAAAGTTTTATGCAGGATGTCTTACCTGACACTGGACCCAGGTTCCCCGCATGGCAGTCAAAAGACGGTGACACCTACTTCCAATCTTTTATTAAAGTTGGTCAAATATTATGTTTTCTTTTTTAATCTTATGAAGTAGGCCTTATTGGTTCGGTAACAAATCTCGAATATTGTTTTTTTTCTCAAATTTGTTCAGTTTTATGGAAATTTAAACTTGAAGATGCAATTTAAGATGCAATAAGTAGGGAATTTATTGAATATTAACTTGAATATTAAATTATTCTCTTTTTTTATCCAGAAAGGAAGTAAAATTCCCTTTAAACACCTGTACCTGTCTATCAGCAATCTTTATTTATTTTCTTTTAAAACTTGAAGTATGACGTGGAACTATTCTGATGCACTGTTTAGCCACGTTTGCTTCCTGGTACTTGAGCCAATCATAATGGAGTTTTTAGGGTTACCAGAACACATAGTGCAGTTTTTAGTATTTCATGTTTGGCAAAAAAAAAAAAAAAAGCAGCAGCTTGGAGGCTTGAAAGCTAGCAAGAGAATGAAACCAGAAATAGTCTATACTGGGGGTTCAACCTGTGGCTCTGGAGACACAAGGTGCCTTTTTGGACCTTCTACTGTGGCTCAGAAAAATATCAGCCAAAAAAGATACAGAAACAATTAGTGTTTTAAAATGTAAATGTAATTAATACTGTAAATGTGAAGCAAAATTTTTTTCACAATTTTACTGAATAACTGCTCTAATTTCTGCATTCAAATAATTTTACATGTGTAAGTAATGAAATTATAGTAGTTTTTATAGGGGTGCACCAATTGCATTTTTATGGGCGATCTCCGATCTTTAAAAAGCCTGACATGCCGATTGTCATTTTGACATATTTATTTCATAACAGTTTTTTTTTTTTTTTTTTTTTTTTAAGATCACAATACACCTTCAATATTTCATTCTAATTTAATTACAAAAACGATCACTTACTTTGAAAATCAAAAAAATAAATGTTATATTACTTAAAGTAATGTCTCAAATAGGAATTTAAGTGTAGCGCAGCAAGAGGGGGCTGATTTTCAGACCTTCTTATGGGTATAGGTTAGTGGTTGAGATTGTTTTCACATCTAAGTATCAGCGGATCATCGATCGCCTAAAATTAAGGAAATTGAGGCCAGTTGAGTAGACTACCTGACAATCAGTGCTCCCCTATGTTTCTCTAAAGAAAAACTTAATCCTTCTTTCTTCTGTTAAAATTTTGTTTTATTTTTAAACCAAAATAAAATATATGAGGGTGGTTCTTTAAATATAAAAAGGAAATTTCTTGAGAATATTTTTAAACTATGATGTTGTCTCTTTTCAGGAAAATCATTAAACATGTTCGGCTATAAATAAATTTGATTTTGCTGGACTGGGGAAAAAAATGACTCTCTGGATTTTAAAGATTGCAGACCTCTGGTCTAAATGATACCTTCAAAGCCTGGGTATCCTTCAAAATTATTTGCACAACAACATACTGTGGCTGAATTGTCTTCACTTGCTATCATGAGTTTGAATGCGCTTCATCCTCGTCTCTCACAACAGTTTTGCTCCACCCTCCACTTGGCTTCTATCCTCGAAAACTAGACTCATAACATTCCAACAACCTTGTGTATGTCTTGCATAAAAAAGCTTATAAAAGGTACAGTAGAAGTCACGTTCCGCAGTTAGCATAACAAAACTGCTCCAAACACAGTAGATAATGTGATCCAAGGCTCTGTCATAAGCAGAAGGAGTTTTGGAATGGAAACCGGCCTCTTCTAAACACCATGTTTAAATATACGTGGTTAAAAACACAGCCGCGGTTGTGGAATTGTGCCAAGTTAACATCCCTGCCAGGCATTCTGACAAACTGAAAGCATTGAGGATCAAATATGTATCAGGTCATTTATTCTTAATTTGCTGCAATTATAGTAAAGATGTTTATAAATACAATCTGTGTCTGCTAGGTTTTCAAAAGGGCTTGTAGAGTATTCTTTACCTATAATTGTGACAACTTTAGGTGAGGATAAAAAGTGTAATTTCCTAAAATTTGCATATACAAAAATAAATTATATATAGTGACAGCCGTGGTAGTGGTTCCACTGGAATTCCATTCAGGCGGAAACTGCTTCCTAAACCCTCTGGGCTTTACAGTAAAAACATACAAACATACTGGAAATTCTGCAGAGCACTGATGAGTATCATCACAGGTATTCTGTTGCAAATAACCAAATTGATGGCATATGAATAAAATATGGTGTTGTTTCCTTAAAATTAACACTTTGGAATCCCTCTTATTAACTCATCAGACCCGTTTTGATAGTAGAAAAAAAAATATTGTATCAAACCACGCAAAAAGGTCCCTCTGGGAAGTTTTCTTACATATTTAAATTCTTTCGACTGAGTTATGACAGCACTTCAAATTTCAGGATAAACCAGATCATTGATGTCATTGACAATGCAGCATTGATGGTCAACTGACAATGGAGTGTTTGTGTGTTTCTTAATCTCCTGCAATCGAGAACAAGATAATAGGACGTAAAAGGAAGAAAAAGCTAAATACGCAAAAACCTCATTCTAACAGCAGTTAGACTTACAGTAACCCTCAACGAGTGAAGAAAAAAGCAATTTTAAACAAATCTGTATTTTAATTCACATTATTTTTGACACTTTCGATTAAAGGTCATAAAAGCAGCAGAGGGCATTTATCAAATATGAAACAATCTTATATATGAAACCCGACCATGTGTAAGGTCTGTGTTTCATACTCAGCTTAGGTTTTATTAGTTATAATGATACATTTCTGCAACAGCACAAACACTTTCAAGAATGACCGAGAAAAGCACAAAAAATGGAACAGAGCTGATTCTAAAAGCAAAAACAGGTGAACATTTGAATGAAAAGAATATTGGAATCAACTCAGAGACCAGCTCTGTAATAGATCACACCTCTTTGAGTTTTTGGTTGATTACACACTCTGGACTTTTGTTATTCTATATTGCATTTGAATAAGTCTTTTTGGTTCCCTCATATTTGGGATGTTTACTGTATCATCTTGATTCTGTTGGTTCCCTGATTTAGGGAAGACAATCTTATACAACAAACACAGAGACAGAAAGGGAGGTGAGAAAGGGAAAAGGAATAAGGATTAAGGGCAGAGAGAAAGAGATGCAGACTAGAAAAAGATAGGAGAGAAAAGAAAGAGAAGAAAACACCAAAATAAACAAATATATACAGGAACTCCAAGAATTCTGCTCCCCCACCTGCATGAGCCTAGAGGGAAGGAAAACAGAGAACAAAACAACAGCTAAAATGTAAACATCAAACTAGCTTCCAGAGTACCAGGTATCCCTTACATACCCAGTCAGTAGATGTTTGTGGAAGGCAAAGCCTTTGGTGATTCCACAATATCATTCAGGGTTGTATACAGTATATCTATAGCTGCAGCTTAGTATTGTTAATATTATTCAGCATTAGTGTGTTTCCAAGAACACTTGTAATGAAGTGCCTGTGGTATGCATACATGAGCATGTTTGTGTATGAAGGGTTAAAGAGGCTTCTCCAGAGGGAAAACATGCCCAATGGCAGGCGTCGCTGACCTTAGATTCGGCCTGCAGGGCCAAGGACCGATGAAGAAGAGACCAGAAGCCCATTTAAATAAAAGCAGTCCAGATCAGAGGAATTAAGGGAGGGCAGATATAAGGACAGCACACCCATCACAGAGGCAGATGAGAGCACCGGGCCAAAGGGGCCCAGTCTTAAGGGGCCTAATCCCAGATGCCAGAGTGCTGAGGCCCCACGGGGCTTCAGTCAGCCCATCACAAGCAGACAGACCCGGATGAGACCCCAGGGGTCCGCGGCCGGGGGCTGCACT